TAACAGGTGAACAATAAAGTAAAACAGGGAAGACACACTGATACACAAAGTTGGAAATAATCGATTGTGGAATACGAAACTGACGAAGTTTACAGATATGAAAAGAAAGTCGTCGAAGCTTACTGACGTTGTGTTGAATGTGAGAGGTCCTGTGAAGATTAGTATCAATAAAAACGCCCAGATATTTGATAAAGTTTACCAGGGATACTGGTTCGGAACCAATCGATACCGGTTCAGATGGGAAAGAAGAGCGTGATAATGTAAAGAGACATTGGAGACATTTGGAGGGATTAAGAGATAGGCCCGATGTGGCGGAAAACCGTTGGACGTTATCCAAGTTTTCAGAAAATTGTGAAAGACCAGAAGAGTCAGAGATGGTCTGACACAAGACCACATAATCAGCATACTTGAAGAGAGAAGTAGGGGCGCAAGCAGACAATAAGTATGGGGAAAGAACTGCACCTTGGAGTACTCCGGAGCTGTTCAACAACGGTTTGGACTTCTTTCGACCTAACCTGGTACACTGAGTTCTCCTGGAGAAGTAATCGGCAAGCCAGGCTAATAACTGTCTAGGAACGCGACGGGGTCCTAACTATACCCGTTTGGTTTATAGAAAAACTGAAGGGAATCCCTGTGATCATTAAAATATACAAATCACCATCTACCATATCGCCATGATGCGGACTGCGTTCTATATTTTTTGAACAAATAATCCCCCAACACTACCTTTAGTTTGTTTTTTATGAAACGTAACCAGAGGAATTTTCATCGCCACAGTTTCGCCTAGAATGAGGCCTAGATGAAGAATGCAGCTTAAACCAATTACATCACGTTGGTTTACTTTGATAACTGGCACGTATCTGCTTTTGTGAACAAATCCAATCTGGAAAGGACTGAAGTTCATTTCTGTCGAATCATCTTTCATTTTTAAAGTCAATTCTTAGTGTCCCCATAGCGGTCATTTTTCGTCCACTCAGTCTGCTCGCTAACCGCGACCTTGTGGGTGTTCTTTACGATCTGCGTTCTGTTTTGTTTAGTTCCACTGGTTATCGAGCCAGGAATGGGCCAGCTACACTTAAGGCATAACTGGTTGTGGTTTCCAGGCAATTGATGAGCGAGGTAGGAGAAAAGGAACAATCAGTCGACCAGTGAGGTGCGCCGAAAGGAAGCCGATCCAACAACAGCGTTTCGTTCTCAATTCTAAGTGATAGTTTATTAAATCAAAACGTGAAATGGTATAGACTGTCTGTCGCTAGTTTGTAATTTTTGTTATGCCTTTCTTGTTACCCGTTTTTCAGCTGTATTGGTAACACTCCCGCTGTACACACCGGGCTTTGTAAAGGCTCGAGGTGGTGGAGAAGGTATCGGTTCTCGTCCGTGCTAGCCTCACGACTCTCATTGCAGCTGACCCAACCGATCGATCGATGAAAGAAACCGATCGACCCTCAGTACATTTCTGACCCCTACTGGAGAACAAAGAAGGAATCCCATGTTGTTCAAGTGCCAGCATGGTATTTCCACAGTAAATTACGAAGTCCGACTTCAATAGCACTCACCGAAAGGTAATCAGCAATAGGAATACCAATAGGAATTATGGAGCCAAATAACCAGTGCTTTATAACACTACTCCCCGACCAAGTAGTCACTTTGTTCAATTTATTGAGTAATTGTTTATATTTTAGAGCATAAATGTGGGTGAACTTGCACAGTTAACCCCAGCTTTCCGAATTCAACTGTTCTATTTCATCAATAATTAAAGACTCGAGAGTGAAATCACCAAAGCCTACGTTCATCTACGATCTGCGTTCTCATTTAAAAGACAGACTTATTTTGTGATCTAAGTTTCTTCAGAGTCATGGTAATATACGAATCAAATTGGAGCATTTTAGATGTGACTTGGATGATTCGACAACAAATGTCGTTGACAAGGCTAGCAATTTTGGTCGGGGATGAATGTCTCAGGTTGCGGCTGCTTACCNTTACCCTTGACTTGCAATACACAAAATACCCCCATACGACCAAGTGTCTCAAATAGCTTCTGATGAGGAAGCACTACCCACTACCTTCTCGTGGAAGAGGTGTTTTCCCCACGAAAGTGAGAGGACGAAAAGCTAATATCCGGGATTACAGCCGGGTTGGTGAGCCACTGGCGGTCCACTTAGGGAAGTTGGTTAAATACCCTGATTCCAATCCAACCAATAAGATGAAAGAACCGCACACACCTTTGTGGTTGTGGCGGTAGTCATCGTCTCGATTGAGTATGGAAAGTGTATTGAGCACCATGAACATTTGATCCCGTCCGAAGGGCATATGCTCCGATGAACGGGACACCGACCCTCAATGGACTGCGGTTTCACACACCGCCCCACTGTCTTGCGAGTCACGTTCTGGTTCGCCGAAGGCCCTGGTTGTGAATTCCTAAGAAAATTCACCAGTTTTAGCCTGGGCAACGTGGCAGAATCGTATCCCCAAGCAAATCATGTATCTTATTTTCTTCTTAAAAAGATTATTGTACCGTAATTAGTTCGGCACACATTCTGACCTCAAACTTGTGTAAATCAAAGTTGAGCTGTGTCAATATTACAGGCCCTTTTGACTTTCCTAGCTTCATCAGTATGTTTGCTTGAAGTTCAGCTGTATGGGGAATATGGAAGTAACCATCGTCATCTCTGATGGTCTTCATTAATCAATCCTGTTCGGTAAACTGACCTATGTGCTTTGCAGCGCCCAAATGCAAAATGCTTGTGCAAGACTGGGAGGAACCTGTGCTTACACCTACCCTTTGAAGTAACTTTAGAGGTGATCTGTGAACATCTATCTCTGTGCCCCCCTCTGAATAACACCATAAGTCCATCGATGTGTTCCTCCTCTGCGTGACTGTTCAGTCTGAAAATACGCCCCTCTGATGGCAGATAATTAATTCTTCACCTCGAATAATGTTCGCATTGTGCAGGTGTCGAATCTACTTGATACTCACTTTTATAAGAACAAAACTGCGATCAAATATGAATTAATTCTTCTATTCTTACCTCACATGCCTGCCGATAAATGCTTTGAACCATCCATCCGATGGCTGAGATTCGAATCAAAATAGATTAGTCGACTATTTCATTTTCAGGCGTTAAACTGAATGAACTGAGGACTTGGGATATATTTCTACTTTTACCAGGTGATTCACTAAATGAATCAGAAGGGTATGTGGATGGATCTGTGAGTTGTGATCGCGCTTTGCTATTTAGCACAGTTTCATCGATAAAAGTGCAAATGAACTATAGCTGGAATCTATACTCAGCGATGTATTTCCTGTCCAGTGAATAACCCGATATACGTGCATACGTATGAATTGGTAGAGCATATGTAAAGCTTCATTTTATAGGATCCTATGCAAGTTGCTTGGTGTTGTCATGAGCTTTCATGGTTTGTTTTTCCTACTTAATTTGATTGAATGAACATTTGTGCAATCAGTTTTCGTGAACGGTCAAATAGTCAATCAGAGGGCTCTCAGAGGTCACCAAAACCTTAATAATGGCGGAATTCGAACACGCGACTTCCGGGGTCAATATGACGATGATTTATTTTGCTTGGTAACTCTCTCAGTTCATCAGTCATAGAGTCGTGCACTGGTTTTAGAAAGTCAGCCTTCAAAAGTCTGCATGTACCGTTTTCTATTCGTTCCAAATTTTGATTTTCCAGTATCTCGATATGTATATCACTGATGTGGGAATGAATCATACAGGTGCAATGCCACACAGTTTCTCGGTTTTTTAAGTGTTCACTGGAGCAATTATATCAGATGATCTATCTGCAGCGCGTAACTGAAACCACTAGATCTATGGTGGCACAATGGTTTAGTCGCTGTCACAGGAGCGCTTTGGACCCAGTGATCCGAGGTTGAAGCCCCACAACCGCCATCCAACTTTGGTGGTAGGCAGCTTTACTGTCGCCCGGTTCAATACCACGCCTAAACTATCGGGCCTTGTATGATTCACCACCCCAAGTCCCGGGGCTTAGGTTACCGTTTTCCATCACTGAACAACAGGTCCTCGTGACAATAGGGTTTACCCCGTCTGTTGTTTACCATACGAAAGTGTGTAATAAAAAAATCGTGTCGATATTGAATCTACTCACTTATAAAATCACTGTTTGATTATTTCTATTCTTTCGCGTGCTACTTGTCCGCGCTAAAAACCCCGAATACGGAAGAACATATGTGTGTGCTTTCGGTCACTGTGTGTCTGTTGTGTCGCCAAGTAGTTACTGACCTCGAAGTAGAAATCTGATCCGATCCATATCGAGCAATCTGACCCGAACGGCAGTGGGAATACCACGAAACCATTAGGTCTGGTACCTGGCGAAACTCCCACCTCCAGGAAATCTGTCACAACCATTGGCCTAATTGAAACACTGAACCTCAAATCAAGATGGCATAAAGGAAGTCTGAGTGCATCTTCTTGAACGAATTGAAATCAGAATCTACAAGTTTCGCAAATGAACAATCGATCATTGACTCATCACTTCGATTAAAGACCCAGATGGCGACTTCGTGCTCTCCGACATGGATGAAAGCAAAAATCCGTTGGGTTGATGGATGAAAAACAAGTACAGTATTCAATGCATATGTGTAAACCAATTCTTTTACGAGCAGTGAGCTGCACAAAACGAGCATTATCTTCTATGTACTATTCAGATCAATATGGTAAAAGCACGAATGGGTAAAAGAGATGCTACTATTCGATCTATCACCCTTGTTTCGAAAGAAGTTTGATGCATAAGTCGTTGGGCAAGTGCAAACTGCTTGAAATGTTTTCTTGCTGTTGACAAATTTAGCTTTCTCGTTGAACTCGAGCAATAAGATCATGCGTAGATTACCGTTGCCAGTGAGTGCATTGGTCATTTATCACCAATTAATATCATTTAATTCAAAAGTTTTGTTTGTGCGAGAAAAGCGGAGCGAGCGATTGTTTCCTTTGTCCTTGATCAAATCAATTCTACAAACAAATTCACACATCTCTCTTATCTGAGTGGGTCCCATAGTCCTCGAGGGTGGACGGAATTCCATGTGAGACTGTTGCATATTTGGTTTCCGAACCCAGTTGTTTAGAAAGAAGCCGTGAATTATTTGACTCGGAAGAACTGTAGGACATTGCGGTGTGAAGAAAGAAGCATTGATCCCCAAAGGCGCATGTACCTTTTTCCACAAAATGACGGCATAACTTGGTACGGAATTTTGGATGATCTTGAGGATTGCGCAGTTCTCCAGCACCGTGAGCAAAGTGACAGCTGTTTCCGACCGGACAGAAACCACCAAATTTGGCAAAATTTCTACATGGTTGCGTTTTGTATCGGATATTGAGGACATAGTCATCCATCATTGGTGATTTCATTGGTTTCTGCACCTGGAAGCATAATTATTATATAGTTAAATTAACAGCAGGTAATTTATAGGAGCTATGAGCAGGTAAAAAAATTAGAACGGACGCCGATCTCAAGCAGACTTTGTGCAAATCAGTGCGATAATTCGACTTTTGGGTTAGGTTATATATTTAAATGCCATTTTCGTTATGATGAAATACTCAAAAACCGATGGTCGCACAAATACGCCCCGCTCGGCACCTTATAAACTTCCGTAAAAAAATTAACGGACATTGATAGGGAAATAGTGCTGACAGGAGGCAGTGCTACCAGAGAATGTTTATGTGCGAATATGATTATACCATATTATGCGATAATATCTTCTAACAGCTTTCATGGGTTCAGATTTTGTTTAAATAAGATTAAAATTTAAACAAAGCTGCACGGTTATTTAGGATTCATACTTTCGTTTTGGTGCTACCTTGGAAACGGCCGATCAAGCTCAATTCATGGTGTATAACTTTTATTATTGCAGCCTTCAGGAATAGACGATAATTTAAAGGAACCTCAGCCACAATGGAATTTACTCACTAAGCTATTGGGACCCTAGACTAAATCCACACATGCAATGAATCATACCAACATTCACACCTGAACATGGTTATCAATTTGTCGGTCCATTTTGACGTCATTCGTTCGCTCTCCATGTCGGCCGAGGTCATTTACCGTCGGGTTCGTTCATTCTCGTCTAAAGTTCTCTCGATCAAGGATCAGGGATACTATGTTCCCTGGTGGGGAGGGGTGTGTGTGGAGGGATGAACAATCAAACACCACCCAACCGAAGCTTTCATTCATGGCTCGGCAACTCACTCAAAAATTACTTTTGTTTGTCTATGGAGTAATCTGTTCATCCCGACCGGACGGAGTTTTGATAGAACCGGCCCAATCGATGACTTGTGACGGCCAGAGCACGAACCAATTTGTCGGGGTCTCGGTAGAATGCGGCTGGCTGGATTCAGTTGAAGTTTCACAGTTTCACGGTTTCATTGGAAGTTGACATGTACTGTCTGATTACCGGTTTGTAATCTTCGTGATGACCTTGTTATTACCTGTTGTCCAGCTTTGCCATAAAGGTACTCTTACTGTGCGCAATCGAAATCCACTGGGCATTGTAGATTCGATGAATGAACTTGATTATGTTTGTTCGACCCGCACTTGAGAATAAGTTATGAATCCGATGCTGAATTACAACATTACGGAGAAGCACCACAGGCGAAAACGTTCTGAGCCGATATGACAATGGGAAAATTCAGAATAAAATAGTCTTCGTTGTGATGAAATTATGCAAACACATGACTGGTCTAAGGTGCGGGCATTATGTTTCCATGCGGGTCCGAAAAACGGATATGATCTCTAGTTACTTTGACTGTTTTAATGAGGTTGATTTCAACATTCTATTGGAACAGAGGAAACGTTCAACTATATGGTAAATTCGTGCTGTAGATAAAGCATGATCCGGAACGTTAGGAAGCACTGAACGTCGTTGGGTCTCAGCAGTAGCAGTACAAATCCATCGTCTCCACTGCGAATCAAACTCATCAAACGCAAGCATACTAACCACTTGAAAACTGGAGGGCCGATCAATTCGTTTTTCATTTTCTTTATACTCGATATGTGATCTCCCATCTATGTGAGCTTCAGGTGGATATCACAACTAAATATCCGATTAAGAGACTAAGTTACGAATCCGGTCCTGCTTAAGCGTTGGCAGAGAATTACCACAGAAGAATAAGCGGTGAACCGATGTACCATCCGTGAAATTGAGAATGGAACAGTTTCTACTTCGATGACATTGTACCAACAATTGACTGGTTTTAGATACTGACAGAATTCCTCTTAGCGGATTGGGAAACCGGATCATTCACAATCGAACCATCCGAGGAGGTGCTACAACATTGAGCGGACGTGGATGAGAATCACAACAGGTCATCTGTAGTGATAACATCTGTCATGAGCAATCGTACAGTTCGGGTGTGCTATACAATAACCCAATGGCAGTCCTACAGTCATGCGTTGTTCATGCGATTGTCATGGGTCGGTCGAGGTGTGTTTGGCGTTGATTGCAATGTTCTGCGGGACTGGCGAAAAACTCTCACTGATAGTGAAGAAATTCATCAACATTTATGCGTCCCTAATTCCGGTAAGCAAGAGCTGATAAATCTAAGTTTAATGGAAGTATACAGGCCAGAAAACGCACCGGATACTCATGAACATCTGGGGTTGAATCTGGTATATTCAACCAGTCTTAATACTTAAGGTGAAGTCCTCAAATGACCACTACGAAAGTGCCCAGCATCACGGTACATTATCACAATGTGATGATACATTTTCTCGGTTCAGAATTTGCAAGAGGGTGAAGTATCTAAAATGAACTGTTGATTCACGAAAATCAAAAACAACAGAGGAGCTGCCATAGAGCAACACCTTGGAGTGCCAAACTATTCTGCAGTCCACTGTTCTGAAAGCTGAGGCAAACTGTGTTATCGTTGTGCAAACCAAACCATTGGAGAAATTTTAAACATCTTTTTGATGGGGAATTTGCATTTCTTCCTTCATTGTGTGTTATTCACTGAAACTGTATCTGTGGTCTAAAAATTAGGAGCGTCAATACGTCGATCAAAGATAGTTTGGAAAGTAGGGGGGATAGGTTTGTGTTGGCGTCACCTTCACTAGCGGATATGAGAGTCGGTTCTCCGCTGCGTTAATTCTCTACCACAGCTTAAGCAGCATCGGATTCATAACGTATTCTTCTATGCGGACCTCACAAACATGATAGTGTTCATTCATCAATCGACCGGATGGACTTGACTCTTGCCCAGTTAGCATAAGGCGCTCGCCTCGAGTCATTACAATGCCCAGTGAACTTCGATCGTACACAGCAAGAGCGTTAACGTCACACGACCGGATAACAGATGACAGCAAGAACGATGTAACCATTACATACTGGTGATCAAACAGTCTTGTGTCAGGTTGCTGGACTACAATTTGCGCAAATGGCTAGAAATCCTTCACGGAAATCACCAAGAGGAGGATCTAACTGTGCGAGGTCATGGGAGAGAGGGCAAGACGATGTGTGTCCATTAGGACGATTAAAGAGCAATTGTGACTTGACACCAATTGACTTGTGACATCGCACTACCAAAAGCAGTCAAAACATACAGTGGAATCTAACGGGTCCAGGTTTCCGTCTAGCCCAATCAGCCGTCATATACTGAAATACAAGGAATGTGCTGTGCGCTCCGCCGCGGCACGAAAATAACACTATTTTGAGAGGTGTTTAGATGTCAAAACATAGTTTCTAAAGCCTCATATGTTTCAAAATAATATGACCACGGCAAGTGCTAACCATAATTTAAACGTGTTACATCATCGGTGGTAGTGGTGGGATTATTTACAACCAAGTTATCAGTCCATCACAAAGTGTCGTGTGTTGTCTCGTTTGATGGGCGAAAAGTGGAACGAATATTTAAAACATGAGAAATTGTTGTCAGTGCATGCAACTTAAGGATACAAAAGGAGGTTCAGTTTCATAGGTTTGGAACCTTGGGGTCGATCTAGTGTTTCTTTGAATTAACTTGTTGCACTTATTTGAGGAATCAATTAGATGTAGATATGTACTATTGTACAATATATATATATATATATCCTGACTGTGTCAATCAGGCCACAGTACAATAGTCTTTATAAGAAAGAAAATAAGATACATGATTTGCTTGTGGGCGCGATACCACTAGCTTGCTCAGGCCAAGACAATTGAATTTTCCTGGGGAATCCAAAGCCGGAGCATTTGACTAGCCAAAGCCTGACCTGCAAGGTAGTAGTGCGTCGGTGTGTGAGAACCGCAGTCCATTAGGGGTCGGTGTCCAGTTCATCGGAACATACACCCTTCGGACGGGATCAAACGTCCAAGGTTCCCAATACAACTCCATACCTAATCGAGCCGGTTATCACTGCCACAACCAGGAAGGTGTGTGTACGGTTCATGAGCCTCTTCTTGGTGGGTTTGGAATTAGGGTATGTAGCCAACTTCCCTACATGGACCACCAGTGGTTTACCGATTCGGTTATAGTCTCGGATATTGGCTTTTCGTCCTCTTACTTTGGTGGGGAAAATATCTCTTCCTCGAGAAGGTAGTGAGTAGGGCTTCGCAGCAGAGGTTGCTGCTGGAGCAAGACCGAGTATTGAATCCAGGATGTTTTAGGTGCCTGAATGCACAACCCTCCAAACGTAGTTTGTGATTTACATAAATGGATCAAATTTGATTATGTGCTGAATTCAGTCCCTTTCAGATATATGGAACGAGGAATAAACTTGATTGGAGATGTTGTTAGAAGTGCTTAGTTGTATCTTCACCCAAATCTACACATAATTAGCTGTTCTACTATCGTAGCAAAGCAATGAAGGATGTGATGAGAAATTAGATAGATAGATACAAAGTTGATAACCGTGTTTATAGTGATAATATGCTTGAGATTACCTGAAAGTTTCTTGGTTTGTACTCTGTGAATGAAGAATTTATTCCGGAACCTTTTGGATCCAGATATGTTCTCTATTCCGGTGACGTTTACGTCTCTTAGGGAGTGTTTCATTTGTGCGCGATATATGACCGTTAGTAAGTAAAAGTAAATAAACATGCTCCATATCCAAGGTTATCGATGAGACTTACATTGACGGATGTTGATTGTTGAGTAGTTCCTTTATCGCTTCCAAATAGAGTGTTCTTTTCGGAGGCACTCAGTGGCTTTTCACCATGTCTGTCATAGGCAAGATGGTGTTCTTTGCATAATCTAATTACCGGGACCGGTCTAATACTTCCGTTAATTGGCGTCCAAGGGGACACTTTAAAATTCACGGGTGTCAAGATATTCTGTTCACTATGTGTGCCAAGGTAGCCTATCTGATCTTGAGTTTGATCTTGTGTCTTCTTTAAAATATTCAGCAACTGAATTCGTTCTTCTGGGTCCTCAGTTCCTTCGCATAAATAGTCCACATAGAATTTACTGTGGTTGGCTTCCGAATCAGGTATGTGTCCAAAACATTTCATGTGTTCTTCGAATGCCATAGATACCATGTTTCGTAGTTGTTTTACTTCCGCAAGATTCTTTTTTGATTTTGAATTAATATTGATTTCACGTGTTAAGGTAAGCAAACGGGTACGCAGAGGGATTAGAATTAAGTGCTCGGCTTCAACTGGATCGGTAATAACTATGGTAACGCCGGATTGAGTAGTCAACTGTAGACCGGAAACTAAATCCGTGTCGCTTGTTTCCAGAGTTGATTTAGACGGGCTAGACGTTTCTGCGGACCATGGACTGATAAGCAAATTTTTAGGTAAAAGCTTCAGCGCGGTTGGAGTCGTTTCTATCGCCGGTACCGGGGAATTCGATGGGGACTCGGAGCAGTTCATGTTGAAGAAGGAAATAGGTTTACCGAAACAACAGAGTCTGGAAACTGAGCAAACCGCTGGGCAACAAGCCAAGAAAGAAATAATTGGCGATACGACATTTTCTCTTTGTTAGCCGGCACGGTCACGTGCCTGGATAAACATCATAATTCATTTGCTTATTTGGCGTTCGTTATTCACGTGAAAAAGCTTGCTCGTGCAGCATGTGATCTATGCCACAGTGAAACGGAGTATCATGATATCAATTCACTGTGTTTTCAGTGAACACTGGTCGAATTCTGGGTATTTAGTGGTGGCAAAGATTTCAAGATACATTGCAATGCACTTTAAGTTCATCAGGATAGCATTTATTGATCAAAGAACCGGTACAACTAATAATATACTTAATAAATTAAGAATTAACAAGTTGTATACCGAACAAGCTTGTTCTCTTAACTTCGTCTTCAGGCATTACGGTTGTTTTTATATATAATGTAGAAATAAATGTGATTAGTTCATTTAATTTAAATGGGAAAAACACTGTCTGTCAGGTTCAGTTGGAGTAAATGGAGAACAGAATGAGTATCCGAAAGGCTACTGGGGAGTGCTTCGACGAGCTCGTGTCAGACCAGATGCGGTTTCCCTAAACCCCCTTGCCCGTAGCGAGATTAATAAAATAAAATCCAGTGCAGTGTTGTTAAAGCAGAACGTTAAACAATACAGTACCATATACGAACTATTGAAGAACGCGAACGGTTGGAGCAATTTTATTTGGACCTCATCAAGAAAAGGGTCGAAAACAAATTGTGTGAACTGAATGGTACAATAAACGACCAAAACCCGAGATCAAACTTCCCTCAGAATCCAGAACGATACGTTCACAATCTATCCAGTCTACCTGTAGATGATATGCTACTGGAGATTCTATCGCTCGGTACAAAATTCTGCTACCCCAAATCCAGCTCTCTACAGAATTTCAATTCGAGAGCCTATGTTAGCATACCGAAGGTTTTACTGCAATAACACAAAAAGCAGTTGACGATTTCAAAGTTATCCTTGTTGATGCCTACTTTCAATACCACCGCACAAAAGTATCACGTGGATGCCTGCCTACTTGGTCAAAAACATACCGTAGCCATAAGCGAACTGAAACGGAATAAGGAATTCATGATTTTGCAACCTGGCAAAAGTGAGGGAGTGGTACTATATGATGGTAAAGATTACGTAGAGAAATTGATGGTTATTCTTAACGACAACGAACAGTTCACAAGGGACGAAAAAGTGAAAGGTATTTCAATTACAGCGGAAGGACAACTGATTAAATGTCGCAAGACGGTGAAAGATTAAAATTACCTATCAAAATAGGACGACGAACAATTAAAACAATTGAGACTCGTATCCCGAGGCTGTATGGCCTAACGAAAGTTGACAAAGCAGGAAAGCCATTATGACTGGTGCTAGATATGCGAAACTCTCCTTTTCACTCAATTACTCGACAGTTAGTAAAAATCCTGGAACCGACCAAGAAGAAAATCTGCAAACATGGTCTGAAAGATAGTTCCGAATTTGTCAATCTTATTTGAGACGTGGACATTAAAAACCTGATAATCACTTTAAAAATGTGCCACTCTTTCAGACAGTGTCTTATCTCTGTCATGAGGAAAACATACAAAATTAAATTCCAAATGCGAGCCTGAAGGAATTATCGTTGCGATGTACATTTATTTTAATGATGCAATCTACAGGCAGACGGACGGTGAAGTTATGGGTTCCCCACTTGGCCCGCTTCTTGCAGTTGCATTTGTAGCCAAACTGGAAAAAAATGAACTACGGGAAATTATGCATCAACTCTCCCGCTATACTGCCATTATAACCACGATATTTTGATCAAAATATTTTACCGAACATAATTTTCGATCTACATGCGATGGAAAAAATATTAGATCATTTAAACCGAGCTCAGAGGCCAATCAACTTTACGACTGAAACATCGGATCAGGATGAGTTTCACTTCCACGATGTTAATCTGAAGAAGGGGCCCAGTGGAAAGATATGCCGTTCATTTTTTCGCAAACCAACATGGAGCGACGAATGCATTAATTTCCAAAGCTTCGTCACAATCAAATGTAAACAAAATTTAGTGCAGTGTTCGGCCTTTAGAACTCGAATGATTTGCTTCGAGGATCTAGTGGAGGAAGTACTAAGAATCATCAAATCTACAATCTTGAGTAACGGATACCCGGGGCGTTTAATCGAGAAGAAAAATATAGAAAACCCACTCTACCTAAAGCGATCGCGATCTCAACGAAAGAACTATTCTTGCAGCTGCCGTTTAAAGGAGATTCGAGTGATGATCTACTGCGATGTTTGAACAAATCAGTCACACAAACATCCAGCCGTCACTCTACGTGGGACGTTTACAAGCCGTTCACAGCTCTGCACAAGCTTCAAGGATGAGCTGTCCATTCTCTCCTCATCCATGATTACAAATTCCTTCACTTGCACATGTTCGGTAAGTTAGGTAGGAAGAAAGATGATACAGTTTTCACAAAGGATCAGATAACATAAACCGGGTGGCTTAGCACCGGTTGCAAGAAAACAATAAACAATGCGATTGTGGCCCACCTCGCCGATACTGGACACCAGACAGACAACGATGCATTTAAAGTCATCTACAAAGCACCCAAAAACAAGTCGAAGTATGTTCGGCAACGTCACTGGGCTAAGGCAGAAGCAATATCAATCAAAATCCTGAACCCACTATCGTGTAAACAGAAGAAAATGGTTGCCGCACTCCGGTTACTTTGGTCCCGCCCGAACCTATGTGACGAACCGAATCATGACCGCAATCATGTCGTGATGACGCAACATGGTACGGCAAGTAGCATGTGAAAAGGTCATCGGAGATTTCTGGAATTGAACTGCGGCCTCCTTCCCCGCCCTTTTTCTCCGTTTGCTCCAATTGAACTTGATAGATACTGTTGTTCTTTCTCGTTTAACCTCAGTGAGCTAATCACATTTATTTCTACGTTATATTTGAATGCACATACCTATAAATGCCTGAAGACAAAGGTACAAAAACAAGCTTGTTGGCTATATTGTTTGACCTTTTATATTCTTATGGTAATCTTCCATGAATCAACAAATTCGTTGACAGGGCAAAAAATATCAAGTTATCGGCAAACGGTCCCTTGGTTAATTCCTTTTTCTTGTATTTAAAAATGGGGAGTTTCGGCGCATCTATTCACAAACTGTGGGCAGTGTGTTACACTTATGTTGTTGGTGCTCACGTGACGTTGGTTACTCTAATTAAGCATTAAAAACCACTATCTATCTATAAATGACCAGTGAGAACTTACCCGAGGATAGCGCAGAAAACGAAAACCCTTTTCGCCAAAAATCTATTTTTAACAAAGTCTGCGAAGACGTTGATAATGAAAATAAAATAGTAATGCTACTAGTTAAACGATACCAATAAAACAATACAACACAACGCAGGCACTTCCAGATGTCGGAGATTCATCTCTCTATCTGTCTCCATCAACAACAACCACTGAAGATTTCTCTCGTGACATTTTGTGTTGATCCAGGCATCCGTGATAATACCAGTCAAGGAGCTACGTGTACAGCTTCAGAAGCATGAATCACACCTCAACTCCACCTCAACTCAAACTGAACTATTGAATTTATATTTCCAATCAGTTGGCCATCGTGAAGTTTCGCTTGTCAATTCTAATCCGGCACGGGCATAGCTAATATGCCTAAAAATATCAAAGCTTACAATCCCGACGGACCATGTAACAAAAGATTGTCGACTGTTGGAGACCTGTGCACATTACACCAGTCCCAAAAAGGGAAGCTGGAAAATTGCGACTAATAGCTTGCACTTCTGATTTACTAACAATTTTCGAAGATTTTATGCTTAGTTACATTATTCCTAACACTAAACAGTTAGATCACAGTCAATTCGTTTGTCGTAACCAACGTTCTACCCTAGACGCCCTTGCGCAGTTGGTAAAATCAGTTTTGCGATCCCTAGACGTACACGATACAGAATTTCGTTTGTGTTTCCTCGATCTTAATAATGTTTTTAACTGTGTCGACAGGGGCAGGCTATTGAATTGTCCTATACTACCCTGTCTC